ATATGATTAAGTGGCTGCACTCAGAAAGAGGGGTGGGGACATTTGCTGTTTTGCAAGGGTAACTGAACTGTCATATCTGTACACCCCTGGCAAGACAATGATAGTATGAATGATGGTGAAAGTGTTTATTTTTTTGGGTCACTCTACTTCGGTGGGAGACGGCCAGTGTGCTAAAAAAAATGATTGAGGTGTATAAATGGAGGACAAGAATAAATAAAGTGGATATCAATAACATGCTAAAAATATTTAACCAACAGGACTCTCAGCAGTGAGTTCAAATTGGAAAAATTTAGATTTAGAAAAGATATAGGAAATCACTGGTTTGGTAATCGAGTTGTAAATGAGTGGAAGAAACTCCTGAGTAGCATCATTGAGGTAAAAAACTTAGGTAGCTTTAAATAGGTTAGACAGGTACACGAATGGGCATACGTGTGTGTGAGTTGGATGTGCCTAGCATGGGCCAGAAGGTCTGCTGCAGTGCTCTATTTTGTTTTTTATTAGACACACACAAATGCAGGGAGTACAGTATGTCCCCAACTTATGATGTTCTGCACTTACAGTATTGGCACTTTATAACCAAGTAATTGCTTGTGAATACTGATTTGCTGTTACAGTCATTTTGACTAAATAAGTTTTTCTCATTTAGTTTTTACTGAATGCATTCATACTTTGTGTATGATCATTTAATGCATATATAGAGCACTTACATTTGTTTGATAGAGATTGGTCAAGAATTATAGGTTTAATAATTATATTTTTCTTTGGGATATTAGCAGTTTGGAGGGATATGTTGTGAATCTTTATACGTATATGCTTCTAAGCTGTTGTGTTCTGAGCACCTCTGCAAAAACTGTGATTATGTGTGAGTGAGGTGAAAGTGTTGAATGATGATGAAAGTATTTTCTTTTTGGGGATTTTCTTTCTTTTTCGGGTCACCCTGCCTCGGTGGGAGACGGCCGACTTGTTGAAAAAAAAAAAAAAAATCTTAAGGTTGAATTATAAAGTTTTTTTTTTTTTTTTTTTTACCAAATGCATTGGTATTTTGTGTGTTTTTTTATGCACACATGGAGAGTTCATATTTTTGGTAGAGATTGTTTCAGAATTGTAGATTAGATAATTTCTTTTTTCACCTGGGCTGTGGTAGCTACTGCTACCTGCACACTGTCGGAGTTATATAGGGTGACTGACAACACCGCCGTCGCTACCGTCTCTGCTGCCACCTCACCACCACTATGCAAGGCTTATGCTCTCAGTGGCCTTTATACACCCAACAACAACAACACAGCAACACTCGTGACATAATGACGTATTTTATTCATTCATGAGTATATGTCATGTTTCTATGATATTAATATTGTTTATTATGTCATATTAGATGAATTGTGATAGATAAATAAGCCGTAAAGTTGATATTAGTGTCATATTGAAAGACTATCTTGTCCTATCTCCAAATAAACTCTGCCACTGCCACAATTCTTAACATATATAATGACATATTTTAAATATGATTGGGCGGCTGGGAATTTGTGAATGTTCAAAGCCTGCGAAAGTGGGAAACACGAATGTTGAGGGAGACCTGTACTCAGGCACATGATACTCCCACTGCACCAATGAGGGATTAGTGATCACATGTACAGTGTCTTGAGCTAGATATGATGTGAGGGAGGGTGGGAGTAAGAGCCTACCCCTGCACACACATTTGTTGTTCCATTCCTCCCACACCTTATACTCAGCTGCAGCAGTGAGGGATTGCTGAGCACATTTAAGGAATATTGTGTTATGTACGATGCAAGAAAGGGTGGGAGTGAATGGAAGGATGAGAATGAGAGAAGGAGACAGTTCAGCTACTACTTGTCCCTACGCATCTACACTAATGTACCGTGTATTGTATTGTAGCTCTGCTCTCTCTGATTAACTTGTATGCATTGATTAAACAATGTTTAATACTTGTGAGTAAAAAGGAACTGTACTGAATATAAAATATTCAATAAACATTTCCAAATAAAAAATAAATGAAATTAGATATGGAATATTATGGTTCAGGAATGCATCTCTGTTTATAATCTGGGTTCCAAGTTCTAAACAGTCAACTTATGAATGGTTTCAGGAACACACTAATGTTGTAAGTCCCAGCTTATAACATTAATGGTTGAATATGCTGTACAATGTACATATTGTGTTCATCATTCTTATAATACATTAATGACGACAGTGTCTTGGGTCCATTAATTTACTTCCGTGTCTCAGACTTTTATTTATAGTTGGGACTTTATTCACTTACTTTAAAAATTTAAGTACATATTAGTTTTTAAAGGTAATACAAATTATTAAACCTTTAATTAAAAATATATTGTTTTAATATAAAAAAAATTGCCAATGAGCATTGGTATAATAAATCACTAGAAATAAGCAGGATACTCTAAGGTATCTATAGTAATGAACATTATATACTATAACTAGAAGAAAAAAATATTGATGTACGTGTAATATTGGATTGTAATAAAGATGTGTTAATTTGTAAGCTCTTGCCAAAAGGCTTGCAGTTGCAGGCTGTCTCTAGGCCTTCAGCATTCACACTCGTGCAGGCCTCCATGAATGGAGTTAGCAGGCCAATTCTATCTCTTTTTTTTTTTTTACAACTGTTTCCTGGTGAACAGATGATGTCAGGTTACAGTGTGCCACCACCAGCAAATTTTGTAATACTGGCACCGTTTTCTCTCTCGGCACCTACAGCTTTTGTTTTGGCATGCTTGGCTTCCAGATGGATGATTTTTTCTTGCTTGCTGCTCTTCCTGGGTGTCATTCTGTGCCCTTTTTTTTTGTTTTGTTAGCTCTGTGATCCTCTGCTTCAGTACCTGGCAGGTGCACCACATCTAGAGTTTGTTCTTAGTACAGTGGACCCCCGGTTAACGATATTTTTTCATTCCAGAAGTATGTTCAGGTGCCAGTACTGACCGAATTTGTTCCCAGAAGGAATATTGTGAAGTAGATTAGTCCATTTCAGACCCCCAAACATACACGTACAAACGCACTTACATAATTGGTCGCATTGGGAGGTGATCGTTAAGCGGGGGTCCACTGTATTTCAGAAAGAGGTAAATTTTTGCTGCCCACTTCAGATCTGTTTTCACTGCACTGTCTGTTTCTGCTGTTGGTCATTGTTTATTTCACTGCTGAAGCTCCCATGTGATCAGGTGACATTTCTAGTCTTCTCTGCCTTTTCATCCTAGGTAAACTGGAATAGGCATTGTCAGCCTCTTTTCTGTTCATTTATTTTGGGCTGAATAATATTCCCACCTGCTGGTTTGCTCTACTAAGTTCTTCAACTTCAGTGGTAATTGGTTCTTTAACCACTTTTGAGTACCTATTAATTTGCTTCTCTACCTGTAACAGCAGACAGGGATGAGACAAGAGAGGTAGTAGGCAAGGAAGAGAGGTATTAGTAGTACTGTAGTAGTAGTAGTAGTAGTGGAGTCAGCCAGTCAGTCTTGTTCCTACCCTTTGTGGGCCCCTAGCTCCTCTTTCTTAGTCTTTGACTACTACTACTACTGCTGCTGCTGCTGCTGCCGCCGCTGCCGCCGCCACCTCTCTTGTCCCGTCCCTGTCTGCTGGCCTATATATACTCCTCCTCCTTTTTGTTAGTGTGACTTTGTAAATGGTCCAAGTCAGACCAAAACGTTGTCGTAAGCTCCTTTCTCCTGTGTGCAGGTTTTTGTGTATTGTTCCTGTCACAGTATTGTGCCTTTTTGTTATTTAATACAGACCTAGATTACAGAGTCATTTGTGCAACTTTCCTGAACCTTCAGAATACCCAGTAGCATCTCATGAGGGGGGGGGGTGACACCATCAAGGGGTGACACAATAGAGCCTCTAAATAAGGTGACACTAATGCTCAAAACAGTGCTACAGCAACATAAGAGAAAAATATCTTGTTTTTATATAGCCTATTATATGATTACAGAGTACAAATCGGCCAATATAGGGAAAATCAATTCCACTGTACGATATTTTGGAAAAACCCTGAATCTACCTGGCATTACTATTTTTTTTTTTTTTTCATTGTTGAAAATGAATATATGTAGGATCTGTTGCCTGTACTTAGAGTTGTATTTGAGTTTGTTTCCTCAATATTACTACGATTATTTATTTTATCATTAATAAAGTTGAGAAGTATTCTCCTGTTCGGTTTATGGCCCTTAAACGTTCTCACTGCTAAACATTAGTCATTGGGCATGCAGTAGTGACATAGCTGGAGTTTACTCACCCCCATCCCCCTGCCCTTGGATTTCATGGGGGTGACACCAAAGATGCCACCCCGGGTGACACCAGCCCTAGCAACGCCACTGAGAATACCTCTGATTTAGCTCCTCATTTGACAGTCTTGACAAAACTAGAATTATGGGGCAGTACTGGGATGCCCACTGAAGCAGGTTATTAATTTCTATAGTACAAACATTTTCCAGGTTGCAGTGTGTGGTGGCTTCTGATGTCCCTTTCCTATTCAATATGGACTTTAATAGGCATCCAATCTGATTTTTTTTTTTTTTTTTTTTTTTTTTTCAATATTGTTCTATTAGACTTGAAGGCATTTCTTTCCTTCCATCATGTGTTGGAATTATGTCTCTTCATCTGGAAGGGAAGTCTCATTACCAGATGCATTATTATTATTATTTCATGGATCATACAGCACCTTAGGACTGAGAGAAAATCACATTTGATCTAAGGAGGAAGTGGGACAACTTCATTTCCTTAGATCAATAACCCTTTACCAGCATCAAGGCACCCCTTCCTTTAAGGGAGTTGTTTGTGCATATAACCAGAGTAATAAATGTACATGTGTTACTTTTTGATAAATATTGTATGATGATATGTGTGGATAAAAATTAAATAAATTTTTAGATTGTAGCACTTGAACTTAAAGTTATGATGGTAAAATTTAGCTTGAAATTTTAATAGTTGTCATTTATGGCAAATTATTGTATTCCTTGTTTATGTTGCAGGTGTCTGATGCAAGGAGAGCTTTTGAAGCTAAACCATCAGATAAACCCACTGTTATTCTGCGAAGAAAATCAACTGCAGAATCTTTACCATCTTCTCCAGTAAATAAAGATGGTCCTAAAATACCCACTACTCACTCTGGACCAATAAGTACTCGTGATACCATCAGAGATTCAACGCCTTGTAAAGAAATTATTTTAACAAAATCTAATAAAGATAAATCACCAGTAAAGGGGAGGTCTCCAACAAAGGACATACCTGAAGAAAAAGCAAGTAAAAAGGACATTGATAAAGAAAAATTTTGTAAAAAGGTGAAAGAATCAAATAGTAAGGAAATTACAAAATCAGCATCACCAAAGCCTGTAGCAGTTGAGGTAGCAGCTAAGGTGCCTGAAGGTAAGAGTGTAATAGTAGATAAAACTGAAAAGAAAATGCATGATGAAACTCCAAAGAAGGAAAAGTTAGAAGAGAATAAGAGGACTCCTGTTGTAGAGAAGCCATGTATTGACACAGATGAAAAGTTAGTGTCTCCCAAGACGATTATGCACACCATAGAAGTAAGTCCCCAGGAAACTGTGACTAGGAATGAAGAAGAGAAGGCAGTTGTAATTGGTGGACTTAATTTAAAACTTGGTGGCGTTGGTAAAATCAGTGAAGTTGGAACAAAGCAAGAAGTTCGTAAAACAGATTCTTCAGATTCTTCAGATTCAGAATCAGAAGCAGAGAAACTTCTGAAGTTGGTATCTAAAAAGCGAGAGAAGGTTGAGGCTGCCAAGCAAGAAAAGCTACGTAAAGTGTCAGAAGCTAAAGACAAGGAGCTCAAGAAGGATATGCCATCCATTAGTGAAGAAGCACAGTTAAGCTCTCCTTCAGAATCACAATCAGTTTCACCTGCTAAGGCTGCACCACCAGAGGACCGGGATTCTCAACCAGAGCAGAAGTATGCCACACTTCCACGAGGGTTTAAGGCAAAAACATCAAGACCAGCTGCTGCAGTCATTACACCTGCACCTTTGCCTCTTGCTGAGAAATTAAGAAAGGATGACAAGAAAGACAAGGTCATCAGTCAAGAAATTGAAGGAATGATGTCTGCCATAAAGGCTGTCGATCAGGCTATTACTAAGGTATGGAAATTTTCCTAAATAATAATTTTGTATTTCCTGAGGATAACATTTAACAAAAATTAATTGAGTTTTATTTCTTATTTAACAAAAAGTGGTAAAATTAATTTGATACTTTATAGAGAATACAGCAGCTCAGCTTTCCAGTTGATGCTGAAACTAGTGGCAGATTCAAAAAATTTTCTGAGGAGACAGGGGGAATGATTCAAAACCCCTTGATTTAATACACTAATGGGGGTGAGAATGTCTGGGCAGTAATGGCACTTGTGGTTTTACTGTGATTGTAACAAAGGATAATTCTGTAGCCAAGCAGAATCTGTTGTTTCTGAATCAGTTGGCTCATGGATTTTATCCAGTACAGTGGAACCCTGGTTTTTGTCCTTAATCCATTCCAAAAGGTCGGTCGAAATCCAAAATGGACGAAAACCGAAGTAATATTTCCCATAAGAAATAATGTAAAACCAATTAATCCATTTCAGACACCCAAAAATATTAACAAAAAATACATTTTATAGAGAATAACTATAGTTTTACTTACAGAAAACATTGAGAAATAAATATGAATGACTAATTTTAATGGATAAATGAACATTTAAATCACTGTTACATACCTTAGTTTTTCGTTGATCCACACCAACAACAACTTCTCCAGATCTTCGATTGTTTGTGATCTCTGTTTCGTTTCCATATTTACCTCTTTTGCAACATCAGCTTCCTTGATTTCTATGTTCTTCGCCAGGGTGGAGCCGATTGTTGATTTGGACTTGCTGTACATCCTGGCTAGCTCAGCCACACATATGCCACTCGTATTTTGCTACAAACTCTTAAATGAATTCTATCATGTTTCTCACCTTCTTTACCAAAGGGATGGGACTGGGAACTTTCTTTCGCAGTCACACTCAGTAAACAAGCACAAAAAAACAGACTATTACAAAATGTTTCGGATGAACCCGCGGAGTATTGCTCACTGAGCAAGTGACAGAGGCAGACTGAGTTACGTACGTGTGAGTGGCTGCATCTCGAGCGGGCGGATGCATCTGATACAGACAATTTCTGAGCAGAGGTATGAAACCCAGGGCAAAATTTCGCCCAAAAAAGTGGTCAAAATCCGAATTGTACAATATCTACACCGGATGAAATCCAGGGTTCCACTGTATTTCCAAAATTTATTAAACTGAGAGTTTAGTGATATTTGTAATCTGTATCACGAGGGTAGATTTTTTTAAATTTAATTTCATTTGTGTTTTGATTACCTTTTATTCATTATGAAATGTGTTTTATTTTTTTTAATAAATTTTCAGAGTGCACTGTCATGAATTTTTTAATAAAGAATTTTAAATAAAAAAATTGAAGATGCTGGGGGTAGGGAAGTACCCATAAGTTGGATCTGCCAGTGGCTTATAAGTAATACAAAATCCAAGAACCCTCCCTGACTAACTCACTACCATAAACGATAAAATGTACCCATGCCACAGAAGAAAATAATCCTTTGATACGCATATACTTTTCACACATGACTCTCTTCTTTTTTGTTTTACAAGATTATGATGTCTCTTGACTGTAATGAAGTGCACATATGTTTTGTTCCATTTATAGTGCTAATAAACTCTATAGCATGCTGAGTATAAAAAAACAAATTGAATCTTACACGTCTTATTACAGCCTCTCCTCACGTAATGACGGAGTTCTGTTCCTAAGACCATGTTGGTAAGCGACGAATTCACTTACCAATGTTGTAATGTCACCTTTGCACCATTTATAACCTTTTTAGTATATTTTTAAATGTTTATACAGTATTGTACTGTAAATTGTAATAAACAGAATAGAGGACATCAGCCCTATTATACATTATTTAAGTATGCATACTGGTCAGAGAGCCCGTCGTAAGTCTGAGTTGTCGGTAAATGAGTATGTTGCTAAGTGAGGAGAGGCTGTATTTAATTCTATTCTTATTCTTTATAAGCTTGTTTATGGGAAATAGTTATGTTGCATTTTTCTATAGAAGTTAATTTTAAACAAGTAAATTTTTTTTTCTATCACTTGACAGTAATGAAAATAATTTACCTGACAGTGAACCCTGGTAACTTGACATTCCTAACAGACCTTATGCATTGTCAAGTGCTAAATGTTTTCTTATAATGAAGGAATTTTTGAGCAGCTGTAATGCATTGCAAATATTTATTAACATTGTTATTGCTTGGCTTAATAATACTCTGGCTAGTAACAACAGCTATAATTCTGGAAGTGTCAGATGTTGCATTCCAAAGAGACTATACTGAGGTTTCTGAGGTAAGTGTTAAAATTACAGGAAGAGCAGGAAATCAAGATGCTTCGCGATTCCTTGGCTCGTAATCTTCCTGAAAATCTTGAAGATGAACAAAGCAAGGCTCGTGAGGGTTCAGCCTCACCTGATAGTGAACAGCAACCCATAACCAAAGAGATCCAGGCTTCCCTACCACATCAGGTTCTGACATCCTCACCTGCAGGAAAACCAGTTACTACTTCAGACAATATCAAACACCAGGTTAGGATATAGACTGGCTTGAGACATTAGGAGACATGCAAAGGATATGTTTTCCTCACCACCTGCCAGGACAATGGTGAACTTCATATCTTTATCTGTTTGCTCCTAGACTTTGCCATGGAGACTTACCCTAGCTATTCGTAACACAGGACAATGGACTTTCAGCAGTATTCCCAGCAATGTTATGATCTTTTAGTCACAGTTTGTCCTGATATAGTTTCCTACACATTATAGATGTGTACAGTAGTTTGTCTGTAAAAGCACCACCATTAACTTGCAGTGTCTCAAAATTAAGATATTTTAACTTTCATCAATATGAATGGAAAATGTGCCCTATGTAGATTGTGCTTTTTTCTAGATAGTGTGTGTATAATATATATAGTGTATATATACAATACATGTATATATTATTTATTCATATTTGTATTTAACAGATTTTATATACTGCAGTTCATGTTAAAAAGTATTTCTCTCTCCCAAAGGAAGAGGAACAGTTATATATGCCAAATAATTAAAATCCACAGCAAACTATACTGTATATACAGTACTGTATATATATAGTATATAGATTTTATTGTTTGATTTTCTGTTAATACATTTTAGGACTATATTTTCATTTTTGTAGGCTTATTTTTATTGAAGACTGTTGATTTTTTTCAGTAATGTACATTTTATCATACCATATTCTTTTTTTTCAGTACAGTACAGTATGTTGTACATGTAGAGTATTTTCAAAATATACATTACACTAGCTATTGATGCATCCTGTGGAAACTTACATTGTAGGGTAATAAGAATTTTGACAGTCTGTGATATAAAAACTTAATTAATAAAATGTAGTGTACCTGTACACTAATTTTGGAAATAATTTTATTTTATTTCACTTATTTCTCAGGTTTTCTATAAGCATTTAATGGACACTATATTTCATGGAAGGCTTTATTTAAGAATTTGAAATGTCCTTAAATTTTTAGGCAAAATATTGTTTCCACACTAGTTTTATGTATTCGTCATTTACAGGAGAGAGGAGAGCCCCAGCAGACCTCGCAAGAAGCTAAGGATGCGGACCGCAAAAAGACAAAACTGGAAATTGTTCTCAATAATAAGAAGGCAGATGTGCCAGAGCCAGACACTGCCAACAAGAGAGCATCATATGCTGAGATCAAGTTAACATCTCCTACCTCCAAAGATACACAAAAGATTCCAGAGTATAGATCAGAGGTGAGTGACTCTTAACTCAAAAATTGGTGGTACATGCTTTCTCTCTTCATTTGGGAATGAGTTTTTCATATACCAAAACATTTTAACCTATGTTAGAAAAGTATTAGAAGTAAATGAAAACAGTGAAGGCTGAATTATGTGTAAAAGCAAACTTTCTCTTGTGCAAAATTGTTGCTGATGTTAGTCATTCATGTGATGGAAGGTATCTCACTGGGTAAGTAAATAATTAGCTCAAAAAGAGTTCATTGTTCTTATTCCACACATGAACATACAGGAGCCAAGATTCAGGTTTTTAGTTCCCATCCCACATGTGGACCTATGGGAGCCAAGGTTTAAGTTCTTTGCTCCTTTCCTGTGTGTGGGTGTGTGGGAACTAAGGTATAAGTTCTTAGTCTGCAAAGGTTAAATTCTTAGCTCCTGTCCCACACGTACATCTTTACATCTTTGGGAACCAAGGTTGAATGGTTAAAAGGAAAAACAAAGGTGCAATGTTAATATAAGGAATGATTAACATTACTCAACACAGAGACAGAAGACATGGTAAGTCAACGAGTAACATTTCACATTCTTCATATTCAGGTTCGACACAATGTGGGAGGCACTCATGGAATGGGAGAGTCTCAGCTGCAGAGGGCTAAGAGAGAGCGCATCATCCCCATCATGCTTGAAGATGACGATGATGATGATGATGATGACCTTACCACAAGTGAAAGCCTCCAGCATAATGATAGGTAAGTATCATCACCAGAGATGTGCTTAAGTATCAGTATAGGTGGGTATTGCCTTATTTTGATGGTATCATCCTAAAATTGAGTATCAGTTTCAAGGTATTGGCCAGTTTTGATGGCATCAGTATTGGTGGGTCTTAGCTAATTTTGGTGGTATCAATTTCAGCCTAAAAATCAAGTATCGGTATTGGTATTGGCAAAATTTGGTATCATCCCATCCCTGGTCATCACCAAGTCTATAATGTTATCAGACACCTTTACAAAATATAAATAAGATATTTTTCAGATTCTTGTTTTTGTCTGAATTGTGTCATAGAACTCGAGAAGTAACTACATACACCCTCTCCCTCACTTAATGGCTAAGTTCCGATCCTAAGAGTAGGTCAGTAAGCGAATTGGTCATTAAGCGATGATCATATTGTACTGGTAGTGGGTTTGTGTCAACCATCTTTAGATATTTTTTTAATATCACCTTTGCACCATTTATAACATTTTTAGTATATTTTTAAATGTTTATACAGTACTGTACTTTATACTGTAATAAACAGAATAGAGGAAATCAGCTCTAATATCCTTAGGTTTGCATATAGTTCAGAGAGCTGGTCATAACTCCAAGTGGATGGTACACGAGTACGTCAATTAGTGAGGAGAGGCTGTATATGTAAAATATTCTTGCAAGAAATTTACTTGCTATGAATACACATTCAGATGATGAAGAATTTTAAATCAAGCTTTAATTTTCACATACTATTTATTGGAGACATTTTCTTGCTTCTCTAAAGAAGGATGATGTAACTAGGAAAAAAATTGTGATGTAAATGTTTTAGAAAACTGACAGTTAAAGAAAGACACTTGCAATATCTGGGAATCTTTGTTAGGGAAACGTATTGGTAGCCAGTGGCTTCTTCAATCCAGTACAAAGATGAATGGTGGAAGATGAGGAAGAATTTGAGGTAATCAGTCCATCAGCTCAGGCTAAGTAACTGATTACCTCAAATTCCTCATCTACCGTTCTTCTGTGTAGTGAATTAGGTTTGATTCGAGGAAGCATAGGATAGCTCTAATTCCCTAAAGCAAGAGCCCTCAAATAGCACCAAGGCATTTTCCTAGGACAGATGTGCATTGAAAATAAGAAGATAGTTAATCATGTGGATGGTTATGATGGGAATTTTATGGTGCTACAACCAGTAGGGTACTCATAGATGAACTTATGCTTAATTGGTTATCAACCCAGGATAACTCAAAGAAGCCAAACTCTGGCTTATTTCTGTTTGACATTTTGTCTCTAGTAGGGTGTTACCTGCAACAGTCAGCTGACTCCTAGCTACAGTGCTTGTTTACTGTCATTTGAATCCAGACTCTTTCTGTTGTTATCTGAACGCTCTACATATGCAGATCCATCCCATTTTTACACATGCGTAGACCTCTCCCATTTCCACACCCATATGTGGACTTCTCTCATTTTTGTACACTTGCAGAGCACTCCAATTTCTCCCCCCCCCCTCCCCCAACACACACACACACACACACACACACACACACACACACACACACACACACACACACACAAACACACACACACACACAAACACACACACACACACACACACACACACACACACACACACACACACACACACACACACACACACACACACACACACACACACACACACACACAAAAGAGATTGGTGCAAAAACTGGAGGACCAAGCAGGGATAACAGGGAAGGCACTACAATGGATCAGGGAATACTTGTCAGGAAGACAGCAGCGAGTCATGGTACGTGGCGAGGTGTCAGAGTGGGCACCTGTGACCAGCGGGGTCCCGCAGGGGTCAGTCCTAGGACCAGTGCTGTTTCTGGTATTTGTGAACGACATGACAGAGGGAATAGACTCTGAGGTGGCCCTGTTTGCAGATGACGTGAAGTTGATGAGAAGAATTCACTCGATCGAAGACCAGGCAGAACTACAAAGGGATCTGGACAGGCTGCAGACCTGGTCCAGCAATTGGCTCCTGGAGTTCAATCCCACCAAGTGCAAAGTCATGAAGATTGGGGAAGGGCAAAGAAGACCGCAGACGGAGTACAGTCTAGGGGGCCAGAGACTACAAACCTCACTCAAGGAAAAAGATCTTGGGGTGAGTATAACACCAGGCACATCTCCTGAAGTGCACATCAACCAAATAACTGCTGCAGCATATGGGCGCCTAGCAAACCTCAGAACAGCATTCCGACATCTTAATAAGGAATCATTCGGGACCCTGTACACCGTGTACATTAGGCCCATATTGGAGTATGTGGCACCAGTTTGGAACCCACACCTAGCCAAGCATGTAAAGAAACTAGAGAAAGTGCAAAGGTTTGCAACAAGACTAGTCCCAGAGTTAAGAGGTATGTCCTATGAGGAGAGGTTAAGGGAAATCAACCTGACGACACTGGAGGACAGGAGAGATAGGGGGGACATGATAACGACTTACAAAATACTGAGAGGAATTGACAAGGTGGACAAAGACAGGATGTTCCAGAAACTGGACACAGCAACACGGGGACACAGTTGGAAGCTGAAGACACAGATGAATCAAAGGGATGTTAGGAAGTATTTCTTCAGCCACAGAGTAGTCAGGAAGTGGAATAGTTTGGGAAGTGATGTAGTGGAGGCAGGATCTATACATAGCTTTAAGCAGAGGTACGATAAAGCTCATGGTTCAGGGAGAGTGACCTAGTAGCAACCAGTGAAGAGGCGGGGCCAGGAGCTTGGACTCGACCCCTGCAACCTCAACTAGGTGAGTACGCACACACGCACACACACACACACGCGCACACACACACGCACGCACACACACACACACACACACACACACACACACACACACACACACACACACACACACACACACACACACACACACACACACACACACACACACACACACACACACACACACACACACACACACACACACACACACACACACACACACACACACAGATAGAGAGAGAGAGAGAGATAGCAATATAGAGAGATAGATAGATAGATCCCATTTCTATATATACAGTACATATGAACGTCTCCCATTTCTGTACGCACGCACGTGCGGACTGACTTCTCTCATGTCTACTTGTGTGAACCCCTGACATATTTACACACATTCATATATGGACCCCTGTTTCTTCTCACTTACGTGGCTGTGTTAATTTATGTGCACTTGTGTGGACCCCTCAGTTAATATTTATGTTGATGCCACTGTTATGTACACAAACTTCATTGTACATAGTAATGTAGATCAATTGACTGATAGATGTGTAGATGCCTTCATTGATACACATGTAAGTCTTTGATGGATACCCATGTAGATCCCTTGGATGATCCCTTTATTAATTACTTATTTGTAGCTACAGTACCTTTATTAATTGCTTATATGTAGCTACAGTAGTAACTCATCTTTCTTCAGTAATTACAATTTATGAGCTACTAACTCAATTCCTGGCCTTCAGACTCAATTTTTGTTCCTAAATAATGATAACCATAATTATCAAATATAATAATTACAAAATTTTTAATTGTATTTTTCATTTCTGCACGTAATATTTTTTCCTGTGAATTTCCCTTATATAATACAGCTTTTCCTCACTTAACAACGAAGTTCCGTTCCTAAGACCACGTCGTTCAGCAAATTCGTCACTTAGTGAGGAGCATACTATAATGGTAGTGGGTTTGTGTCAACCATCTTTGATATTGTTTTAATGTCCCCTTTGCACCATTTATAACATTTCTGGTATACATGCATTTTTAAATGTTTATACAGTAGTGTACCGTATATTGAAATAAACAGAATAGAGGAAATCATCTCTAATATACGTACATTATTTAGGTATAAATACTGGTCAGAGAGCTTGTCATGAGTCTGAGGCATCAGTAAATGAGTACGCTGATAAGTGAGGAGATGCTGTAAAGTGGATCCCCGGATTTCGTGCGGTGTGGATATCGTACAATTCGGGTTTCGACCACATTTTTGGGCGAAATTTTACTGTGGGTTTCGTACCTCCGCTCGGAAATCATCCATATCAGACGCGTCTGCCCGCCCAGGACTTGGCTGCTCACACATATGTGACTCAGTCTGCCTCTGTCACTGGTTCAGTGAGCAGTACTCCGCGCATTCATCCGAAACATTGGTGGTAGTGATGGCAAACAATTGAAGTCATTGAGAAGTTGTTGTTGGTGTGGATCAACGAAAAATAGTGTTGTGGAGGCAATAATTTGTGAAAAGGCAAGGCAGTTGCATACAGATCTCATAAAGAATATGCCAGCAAGAGTCTTCAATTAAGGTAAAAGTGATTTAAATGTTCGTTTATCCATTAAAATTAGTGCTTTATATTTACAGTGGACCCCCGAGTTTCGTGATTAATCCATTCCAGAGAGCCTGCCGAAAGTCGAAATTCAAGAAACTCGAAACCATTTTCCCCATAAGAAATAATGGAAATAAAATTAATCCGTTCCAGACACCCAAAAATATTAAAATAAGATTTTTTTTTTCAAATTAAATAAAGATTTATATAATGAAATCAATGAGAAATCAAGTACATGCATATAAAAAAAATAATAATAACATTACACTTATCTTTACTGAAGACTTCTGGATGGATGGAAGACAGGAGGAGGGGATAGGAGGAAGGTGTACACTATTGTTTGGAAGGAGAATCTCCTTCCATTAGGACTTTAGGTAGCAAGTCCTTATCTGGGGTTACTTCCCTTCTTCTTTTAATGCCACTGGGAACAACTTGAGAGTCACTGGACCCCTGTCGCACAAAATATCTGTCCAGAGAGGTCTTTTTCTGGTGTTTCTTTAAGATTTCCCTGAAGTGGGACACAACACTGTCATTGTACATGTTGCAGATATGGCTTGTTTCAGCTTGGTCAGGGTGATACTTTTCAACAAAACTTTGGAACTCATTCCATGTTCCACACATGTCCTTAATCACTTAAGAAGGAACCTCTTTCACTC